TTGTTTTACAGCTAAATTTTGATAAAGGTTAATTGGCTGGAAGGATTTATTTAGAAAACAAAATATCTATCTGAACTATTTTTAGAACTCTTGCTTTAGGATCCACTGCACGTAGAATTTTGCTTTCACAGTATCTAACTTAATTTACTTCTTCAGAAGGAAGGAAAATTTCAAGTTTACTTAAAAGTCTTGTTATTATGTTAAGGAATTTCCTCAGAGTTTTCTTTTATAATATTAGCGTTTGTAAGAATTATTTAAACTAACAAATAATTATATAAAAATAAATTGATAGAGAAAGGAACGTGAAGAAAACGGAAAGTGGATAAACAAGCATAGGTAAAGGTATTAGTTGCCTAAGCTAGCAGCATTATTATTTTATTTCGTTATAGTTTCTGAAGATGGGTGTTAAAATGTTTTCAGTTAAGGTCTTTGCCAGAAAAAGCAAAGACGTTGTTTCGATGAGAACTTTGAAATTGTATTTTCCCTGCTAAATCAATTATGATTAAAATTTTTATCTTATCAGATTAAAGATTAACACAAATTTACTGCTTTAAAAAGAAAATTTAAATCAAAGAAATAATAATAATAATATGCTCGTAAATATTGGTTATTATTTTTAATATGCTCATGTTGTAACATTTTCTGAGAGGTTGACGTTAGTGTTATTTAATAAAAGATTCTAAAATCTGCTTTGGTTTTCCAGATGAATAAGCTACATTTTAATTGGGAATTCTGAAATAAATTATTTTTAAAGATGTAAGAAATAAATTGCATGTTGTATTCTTATATAATGAAATCATTAGTTCTAATTCCTAAATAAATAAAAAAAAAGATATTTCCTTTATGACCCTAAAAAGCAAAATTAGAGAATAGAATATGTATAATTTACGTAGTTATTTGCTTTGAAGGGTTTACATCAATGCATGTATCGACAATATATTGTTGAGTGCTTACGGGTTCGTTATGAATTGAATGCACAAGTCCGATGAAAAATGAATAAGATTTATTAGTATCACAACAAATAAAACAAAATGCTTTAATTTCCTCGGATATTCGTACAATATCCCAATATCTCACAGTAGTTATCTTTTAAAGTACTAAAAACGTTAATTCAAAACAGAGAAACGTAGAGAAAGCTAATTTGATTTCACCGAGAATTAGCTACAGTAAACAACAACAGTTTTCTAAGCAAAACTCATAACAACTACTGAATTGAGAGGTTTTCCTCCTTTTGTTAGCTTTTAAATCACACACTCTGGTGTTCTTGATTTTTTCCGAAAAGCAAAAGCGTGCAATTACGAGATATCTATTTATCAAATGCGCATGCTCCTGTATTTTTAATTTTTCCGGCGTAGCGTTTTCTTCAAATAAGTCGCGTGCAGGATTGCACCGGGAAATCAAACAATTTAATAACAATTCTGTTAAAAATAGCAAACTAAATAAATAAATACAAAAACCGTAACAATATATTGAATGAAAAACAGATTTTGTCTTTGGCGCTAACAATAGGAACTGTCTAAAAACAACTACAAATAATTTTTAAAATAAAGGACAGTTATAATTAACAGCAATTTGGCTAGAGATGCATTTTGATAATCTATAGAAAATATAAAACATCTTTGACAGTAGAACATAAATAAGTTGGGAGTAGTAAGGAAAATGGAAAGTTAGGACACTGGACCACAAAAAAACAAGTAAATAATATAAGGTGAATTAGAAAAAGGAACTCCATTAACTCTTGTTCCTGATATGTTCACTGGACCATTTAGATTTTATTAGTTCTAGCTATTAGTCGTAAATATCACTTTCTGTTGATTTATATTTCTTATATTATATCTTATCTTATACATAACATCTTATATTTTGCTGAATGGTAAAAATATGGCGCGCTGGAGGTAAAAATTATTTATTTGAAACAGTGCTGCCCCTTCACACCGCTTAGTTTTTAAATAAAAATTCGTAAAATTTGTACAAATTGTGAAATAAATCGAAAACCAAATCGAAATTCAAAACTCTAGCTTCGAGGTGGAGGACTACGTGTATTAAAATTTCAGTGGCTCTAGGTGCCGTCGTTTTTCAACAATACAGGAACATACATACATACATATTTTTCATTACTAATTATTTTAAATAATACATGCCGATAATAGATATCTGCTATATATATATACAGCAATTATCTCAATTTTTCGAATTGCTATGCATATAGCGATTCGAAAAATGAGTCGCACACCAAAGTGATACGGAAAAAACTGGCTTTCGAGACTAACAGAGCTTACGGTGCTAAAAAAGTAATAAAAAGCCATAAATAAATGCGATAAATAAATAAAATAAAAAGTTTAAAGGGGTTAATATTTTTCTGTCGCTCAAAAGCGCTGCTCTTTTGAGGTTTAAGATAATTTATCAGCACATACTATCTATAGAGATGGGCCAGGTAGAATAGCGAAACGTTTTATAGAAAGCTAACAGAATATATATTTAGACTAAATGGGAACGTTATGAATCTTCTTTATGTTTGAAAAGTGAGGAAAATGTGTAACATCATTCTCTATAAAATACTGAATGTTTTTAACTAGATACACCGCTAATGAAAATGCATTTTTACTTAAATGAAGTGGATTAAAATATAAAAAGGATATTCTTAAGAATCGCACGTATTGCTTTAAATAGCTTAGCTTAGTTTGTTAATTATACAAAAGACGAATAAAATTTGAAAGATAAATATCTTAAATTTTGCCGAAGCAGCAGATTCAAATGAAGACTGCAACAACGCAGTAACAGTGACAACATTTAACGTGATTAACACAAAATCGTGTTTCGAGACTAATACGAAACTAAATCGACTAAAACTAATTCGATATTAATACGAACATTTGCTTAGTCCATAAGAGCTTTGGACTAAGAAAAAGAGACACAATATCAAAAATTTCAAAGGCCACTTTGAAGATATCTAAAGTACAAATATATCTGTTTGGATATTGTGTCTTCGGTAGATTAATAATTCCCCGCAAATCCAGTTTGGCTTGCATATATACATGAGATGAAACCTCCACCAATGTCAAACTACGTTAACGGTGATTTGTTTGAGTTTCGCGCTGTCGTTATCAAAGCATCCAAAGAAAAGAATCACTTTTTCATCTTCTTCTTGTGTACTTTTTTCCTCCTCTTTTCCTATTTCGGAGAGAAATCATTGCCCTCGTGTGCAAAAGCGCGGGCCGTGGTTAAACGGATTAACAGGTTTAATGGACGAAATCGCTCTTTGGCACTTTGAGCAGATTTAATGGGCCCGCTGTGTCCTTAACAGTTCTCTGACGCTGGTCGTTACTAATTGAATCAATGGAGTTAAAAAATCGTGTCTCTCCCTGAAATTGAATTCACGGTGTATCCAATGAACGTGTACTTTCAATTTGTGTTGAACCTGAGTATTCCAAATTCCTAAAGCTCTGAAGCAGTAGTTTGGGGGTGCATATACAAGTGTTTTGCACCAGACTTTGCGTCAACATACGATAACAAAATATGTGATGTACGGCAAACATACAGTATGGGAGAATTATGAGTTGGATTAAACTTTACGTTAATATTCGAAGAATTCATTTATTTTCATTGTACAGTATTCGCAGTATGAAATTGCGAGAATATAGCCGAGAAGGAATTTCTTTATGTTTATTTGCGTCAACTTATACTTTAAAATTTAAATAAAAAGTAAAGAATTTAATAGTGTGTAATCAATTTTTATAGATAAAGTACTTTTACCTTGCACATTGCATGCAAATTTAACCTATTTAGGGGAGCTAAGAACTAGTTCTAACAATTTTTGGAAAAATGTTTGTTTTCTTAATACATTTATGATTCTTTAATTATAACTGCTGCTTTTTATAGTGTAATATATTGAATTAATATGCATTGTTCCGGAAAGTTTCAGCTTTGCATCGTTTGAAATGCATTGTTCAACACTGTACTCTTACTGACAATAGCATATAAAAATTTCAAAGAATTCTTTCAATATCTTCATATCTTCTATTGAAATGGTCTGCAATATCATTGAATCTTAATGATCTAAACAGAAAATTGAATCATATATGTGAAATGATATCCGTTATGCGATTTCTCATATTTAGACATATAAGCATTTATGTGACATAATTTGGTGAAATATCTCCTGCTGCTCAAGCCTTTCTTCTCACCGGTAAAGAAAAAATTGTGAATACGAAATACGTACAGTAGAATATGTCCATAGATCTTTGATTTCAATTTAATCCCTAACTTTAATCTGAAGCATCGTTTGTTGCATAAATATTTATGACAGATGGTGAAATCATTAGGTTTTTCGAAGCGGGAAAGGTGAGAAACGACCGGGTAGGAGCGGACACTATCGCTAAATCCTGTGGGTGAAGAATTATCATCCATACCCTTTTAATTCGCTTGCCACTTGTAGAGTCATTAGGTTTTTTGAAGCAGGAGATATTTTGAACGCTTGCCCCGTTCAATGAAGAACACTGCGAGGAAACAATTTTAAATCCTGTGCCGAAATAATTGATCAGCCATCCGCTCAGCATATGCAGCCATAAGGCTAAGAGCTTTGACCGCGCTCGACTGGAAATTGAATTCTCCTCGTCAACAGAACCCACTAGTCCTTTGTCAAACATATAAAGTAGTAAAATATTAGAATAAGGAAGGAAAATATATATAACATATACAGATTAAAAGGCTTGATATAATTTTCTCTTGTTCTCTTGCTGATTACAAATGTTAGACAGGGCATGTTATAATCTTTAGTTGCTCTTAAATACTTGCTAATTCACTCATGTAATATGACAAATTATTTATAATCACAGTGACTTCGCTTTCAATAATATATTTCATAATTTGTTGAAGTGCAGATACACACTCTGTATTGTAGAATAAATATTTCGCTGGAATTTATATCACAAATGCTTTGCTCTAATAATTGAATATAATGGAAATTGCCTTATACAGTGTGTCTCACTACCATGTTTCAGTACTTCTAAGAGGAGTTGGGTGCACCCTGATGATTCGGAACCATATAGCAATGCAGGATCGAAAATTCTTTCTTGATGCGCTATTGTACACAGAAAGTCAGATATTAAAAGACGCCAGGTAAGTTAACATTCAGTTAAATAATAAATTTGTATGAACAAAAGTAACATGAGTCAAAGACAATGTTCGAAATTTCGTACACCGACTTCAATCCACCCCTCCTATCTACGGTACATGGAATTCCAAATACTCTGGAATATTCCAGGCATACCTCGATTTTCTCCGCAGCTACTGTGATTCGTGCAAAAAGCTCTTCGACATTGTCAACGGGGTTGTCATAAACCACTTTCTTCATATACCGCCATGGTGATCGAGCAGGCAAACGCACCGGACCATCATTATCGATACATTGTTGGCCAAATGTGATGTCTAGGGGGATATGAAAGTTATGACAGAAACGAGCAGGGACCCCACCGTGTTGGAACCACACTGGCTGTCGCATCGATGCAGGAATGTATTCATCGTCTAAAAGTTGTGGAATGATTTGCTGAAGAAAGATCAAGTAGTTTCAACCGGTTAGACAAAAAGATAACGAGTGAGGTCCTATGAGAGGATCCCCACAATGTCGGCCTAAACATTAATCGAAAACCCACACTGCGTTGAACGCCGTAGTGTTGCATGAGGGTTCTCTACCGCCGAGAGATGGGCGTTATGTGCGTTGAATATTCCTTCCCTTGTGAAGGATGCCTCGTCGGTGACAACACATTAACAGGGAAACGGTGATCTGTGGCACACTTTTAAATATACTATTACGCAAAAGCCACACGAGCTGCATAATCGGCCGCTTGAAGTGCCTGGATACGCTGCACGTGATACGGATGCATTTCGTTTTCACTGAGAATCCTTCAGACGCTAAACCCCGATTGGGGCGTGCGTTACACTACGTGCACCTAAACTTGGAGTCCCTGTACCTGATGTAGAACATTCTCTACTGTGTTCGGAGTCCGTGCTGATCGTGCCCGATTCATAGCAGCTCTTTGAAAGGAACCTGTTTCAGCTAATTTCCGGTGCTACCTTGCAAAGAAATTATGGCTGTGTATACACCTCATAGGATATCGTTCCGCGTACGAGCGCTTGCCTATTACAATATATGGCCCCATATGCCAAATACATATTGGCTAACTCCGCGTTCGTATAATTATTCATACTACTAATTTTGCGTCCTTGAGCGAAATGACGATTCCCTGCAAAAACTCTGGGAACTTTCGCGCAGCACCATCTACCTCGTCAGAAAAGCATTTCAGATCTTCTATTGTTATATGATTCTGAGTCCTTGTGGTGCACCCTAGCCCTCCTAGAAGATCTGAAACGTGGTGCGGAGACACCCTGTTGAGTCATCCACGTGATGTACTGGAGTTCCGCACCCACATCGTATATTTCTTCTAAAGAATCTCTGGAAATATCATAGACCATTTCCTTGATTTGTTGTTAATTGTACTAGGAAAAAATTTGTTTTTGTTCTTATTAGGGATACTTGTGGTAAGTATTCCTGAGTTAATCTTCCTGTATCTGCCTCGTTCAATCTTCTTTGCCATTTATTAAAAATTTTTTAGAAATTTTATTCTTGATTGAATGTCTTGAAATAGGAAGATGCACATTAATCATATCTTTTAATCTGGGATCCTTAGCTGCTGTATCAACAGCTTCATTACCTATTATACCTGTGTATACCCGTATATTCTTTAGTCATTAAATTGAGAAAATGAGTGACCGTATGACGTATTTTAAAATCACATTCTTTAGAAATACGTTCTTTTGTTAAATAAGCATTTAAATTACCCATAAATTTGTTTGCTTGCGAAAGGAGGACCTTAGAGGTGTTAATCTTTCCTAAGGCATTTTGTTCTTTGATACTGATATCCAATAGAAAAAAAATCTTAACTATTTAATTTGTATGAAAAATGTGCGATGACCTCGCCGAGAGTCAAACTCGGGACCTTCCGATTTGTAGCCGGATGTGCTTTCCACTTACACCATGAAGGCATGCGATGAGGAAAGGAAACAAAAAAACCTTACAACAAAAATTGGCTTACAGTGTTCATTAATTAACTGTTGTGCTAACAGTAGTGGCAAAATAATTACGTATAGCTTAAAAGCTTGATTTCACTCTTTCAGAGACGAACTTTTCTCTTTCCGACGCTTGAGAAGTGACGTATTTTATCCATCTGCTCAGGGATGTCAGTTGAAGTGAGAAAATTCCCTCTTTGAATCAGAATGTTGATTACCACGCTGGTTGACCTTGGTCGACAAGAGCAAATCTTGTAGTATAGTCACGTAGGGTAGGAGTAGTCTAATGTATCTTATCTTTCAATTAAGTGTTACGGTTCAATTAAGTGTTAAGAACCGGAGTCATGCAAAGAGAGAGTTCGACTAACAAATTAGCTTATGATAGCATAAGGCTACATGCATTTTTTTAAAATTTGGCTGTAGCGACGCCCACAAGGGTATCCGCCAAGGGAGATGATGCTTTTCTCAGGGCCGTAGCTAAGGTTTTCAGCACCCAGGGACAGCTGAAGATTTCGCCCACTCCTGTTGCCAAGAATGGAAAACATTTAATTACATAATTTCTTAACATCAATTTGGCGCCCCTTAGATGATGCGCTTGAGTATAGATGTCCCCCTTGCTCTCCTCTAGTTGCGCTTTTGGCTTTCCTGGTGAGAATTGTAATGGAAACGGACTCATAATATATATGCTGCTCAAAGCAGGATGTATATAAGAGCACTATAAAAATAGCAATATTAAAATAAAAATATAAAAGCAATATTAAAATAGGGTACTATCCAGTTTTACATGTTGCAGTATAAGCGCTCATACAGTTCTACGATATTGGAAATATTACCTTTTTACTAAACGTTTTTATTATAAATAGGTATAATGTACGGAATCTGTTTATTGTTGGCTGTCACTCAAAGCTATGGCCTTCGTCTACGGCATGTTATATGCGGTTGTTACTATCCCCAACGTGAAAAGGCGCGTGCCGTCTGGCTTTACAACCACATCTTGAAGACCAGAGGCAGCCTTCAGAAATTTCTTTCCAACCAAATTCGTCGTAGGGTATATGGAGACGATACAGTGGACAAGATTTCATTCTTGGAGCGGCTGTCTCATCAATCCAAGCTGATCGCCAGGATTCTGAAAGCTGCCGGATATGTAAAGATATACTGCGTTTGTTGTAATGAAGCCGGGAAACCTGAGGACTACGAAAATTTCAAGAGGTGCAGCACACCAGGTTGCAATGGTAGGTGTCAAATACTTTGATGTGCCCATATTCGTTTTTTGAATTTTAAATGCCAAGTGTAGTACTTTTATTGACCGCAAGGATTGTTGCATTAATTGTATATTGTTTCTATGATGAATTTCATTGAAATCACTAAGGTTAACATTTTGTCATCGCATTTAGAAGAACATGAATTAACAGGAAACATATGCGTTAGAGAAGCTTTAATTTAGATTCAATATTTAGTTACTTTGGAAAATCATTAGAATTTTTCGATGTCAGTAGAGAGAAGAAATCCACAATGTTCTTGCCGCGATTCGAATAGCGGACTTTCCGATTATGCGTCGGACGGGGTTTTAGTTACACCCCAAAGACAGGAGAGAACTAAAACTACTCAAACAGGAGAAAATTAAAGCGACCAAAACTGGAGATTAATGAAAACTACCAAAATAGAGTTTAAATCAAACAAATGTTTCAGTAACTTAGTACAAAGTAGTCTTCGAGCAAAAATTGCTAGAAAACTGCAAATATGGTAGAATATGACAGCCTGGGAGCCTAGTCGTACGTTTTTTCAGGGACGCTACAATAAGCACAGTTCTTATTCTTGCGAGGGAAGAAAACGGTCTGGTAGTTGGTAGGCTGTAGACAGGACTACTAACTTTACAACTGCAATACATTTTACCATTAAAAAATCCGCTCTATAGAGATTTGAATCAACATCAAAAACTGCTGCTACTATTAACTCTACTTACAATCTGATGCTTGTGCATAAACCGTTATCATCTACCTGAATTTTGTCATTCAGTTAGGAAACTAAGTAACATTCCATTCAGCCTTATTCTAGGTATCTGGAACGCAGGTCTGGATTGCTTCGAAGTATTTCTTCCTACATCAAATATATAAATTTCGTTCTTAATTAGATAATTTTATTTTTTCACAGATTTAAATAATGTAAAAGATAATACAATTCAATGTAATGCAATAATATTTTTTGAGAAGCTATTCAAATAGTTTTAAGTAAAGCGCTATTCATAATTTTCTCCACAATGTTAGGTTAATAACTGGCCTATAAATATTAATGCAAAGGCTACTGAATAGTTATTTAGATCTATAAAATTTGATCTAACGTTGTCAGGACTTTTGTTCCTTCTAATTGCCTTTGGAAACATAACTGGAGTCCTGAGTAGAAACAGGGAGTTTACTCAAAACTCGTGTTCGTGCGTATATAGAAGATACAACAAGGTAAGAAGGGTTAAATTTACCCTTTATTTCTCACAGCGTACAGCAGTTCCCGCACCTCGGAATACAGAGACCAGCACTTATGGTCTAAAATGTATAAAATAAGAAATAAACTAACTTAACTAAATAAGAACTAAACTTAGATGCTTTACAAAGAGTAGTAACGCGAAGATTGGCCTTTTGAAACTACGTATGTAGTGAGCGAAATGCAGAAAACTACAATACGTCTTCAAAATATTAAGAACTAAGTTCTGGCCTTAAAGGCAGATATGAAATGACTGAAAAGCATGCCTCGTGGTAGGGCGGCAAGAAATCACTTTCTAACTCTTTTGGCTAAAAGCCATATCTTAAATACTTAACAGGTTGCAACCTCATTTGCATAAACAATTTTACTCGCGCTTATTCTGGCCAGAAATGAAAACTAAGAGAGGATAGCAAAGTTTTAAAATAAACTAAACGTTAGTAAAACTTAAAATCCTTACAAAGCAACTTGTTATTTTTATTTTTATTCTTTTCTATCCGTTTATTTTTTTAGCGACCTTGATTAGAATGCAAACTAGCTAGAGTTTCATGAGTACTTACTATTTATTTAGCTTGCACTGGCAACAACTCTTAAGATTTTCTAGCGATTTACAGAAATTTGCATGCGTGGTGCCGCTCAGTTGATGCATTTTTTAGTTGGCTGTTTAAGGTGAAACACGTGAAAGCTATGCTCCTAAGTGGAGAGATACACCTTGGCGGTGATATTTTTAAGATAAAGTATGTAGCCAACTGTGCTGCTAGGGACACATAAACAAATTCATAATCTGTATCCCTCTCCTCTTATGCTGACGTATAGCAATTTTAACTGCTTCACGTAACATAAATCAGGCAAAAGACAAGCTCCAATTTAGTCTTAGCAATATTTCTCATTGGTGCTTATTATTGCAAATTAAACCCACAAAAAACACTACTATAGTCTTCAGAAGATAAAGTCAAAATAACAGAATATGAAACGATATTTTCGTCAATTTCCAGTCATCACCTTAACAAAATACTTAAGATTCATTTTAGATACATGTTGAATGCATGCTCACTAAACATAACTCAGCTTACTTCTCTGTATACAGTCTGCTTCGCAGGAATTCCAAACTTAACTTCGATAGCAAAAGACATTTTTTTTTATCTCTTTTATATGGCCAATTCTTACCTGTGCCACACCAGTTTGACCAAACGCTTTCACAACCCACCGGAAACATTTATATAGTTTCGAGAATAAGCTGCTAAGAAACATGGTCAGTGCACCATAGTTTGTACATAATAACATTGTTTTAAATGATAGTTCACTTGTATGTCTATATTTTTACAACTTACCACAACTTCTTTAATAAGACTTCAGTTTCGGAGTTTTCTGCAACTGTTGCACTCACAAAGTGGGATCCTAGAATATTAAATTAATCATTACGAGTTTAAAAGATCATTATAAGTTTAAAAAACTAAGAATAGCAATACATTTTATCATTAAAAAATCAAAATTCGTGCTATCACTTCCAGTGTCCAAAAATTGATTCTTTTCTTTTACACAGATAATGGAGCAGTCAACCGCTGGATTTAGTTGGCTTCTTTGGCAAAAAGCCCCAATACTGGAACTATTTAATAAGTTTATGCTTGTGCCATATACACCAGATCTGTCCTTGCGAAGCAAACCAAATATATGTATCTATAGAAGGAAACCTTTCGATAGATCAATGATAAGAGGTCTAGCAAACAGGGAGGATAGGCAATATGTTAAGACAGCTCAATTCTGTGCTAGGATTATATTTAATTCCAGAGACATTTTATTGTTTATAATCTCCTCCGACTTCCCTGCCCGGCAACAGAATTTCGCGCTAGTACCGCGACGTTGAGAACATTTTTTTCATATTTTCGGCCAGCTCTGTCAGAGAATATACCAAAAGATTCAATTAAAAACTTGCAGGTGATTATAGGCCTGAAGAAGTTCCAAGTTTTAAATAAGACAAAGTTTCAGGTAACACTGTAGGAAAAATCACGGAAATACCTGTCACTTGAGAAAAACCACGAAAATGCCCATTCAGGTAAATCTTCTGTCAGGATTCGAATTTAAGCCGAACTACTAATAATCTGTGGTGGATTATTTGGTTCAGAGGAGTGAATTTTGGAGAGTGGAATTTTTTCCTTTTCTGATAAGCTGCAGCAGCTAGTTCGTCAGGTTTCGAGCCCAGTCGAATTACCAGTATTCAGTGGTTTGATGATTCGGCCACGGGTGAGACATTTGCTGGTGAGTGTAAGTTTATTCAGTCTGTAATAGTTAGTTAGGATTTAAGATGGTGAGTACTAGCAAATCGGAGCTAGCTATTATAGTCCCATTTATTTTAGTTAAATTCAAGCTTTACATTTCGTTTCATTTATCTTGCTGCAAGTAGCAATGGTTGAGAAATTGTAACTGTAAGTCACAGAATAATATTTTACGCTACGTAAAATAAGCATTAAATTTTATCTTATTCCCTATGATTATTAGGTTAAAATCAAACAGTTAAAGGTAAAGGAATTAATAGTGATTTATGAGCGTAATAAGGTTTAGAAAGTTGAAGTACAGGTATTTTAAAGTAAAACTTATAGTTTTACAGTTATCTTTTTCACTTTAGGAAAAATTTGTTTTATTAACAACAGAAACTAATGCCTTAGGTACAAGTGGAATATTGTTACGAAATGTACGGATGCGGTGAGATAGCTTTCCCTCAAAGCAGGTTTAGGTTTGCCATAAAATAGCAGGGAAGGCAGGGTTGCCACATTTGGCGAGAAATTGCCCATTTGGCGACAAAACTGGCGTTATGCCATGGACGGATGGAGAACCTTCTGGAACGAATTCTTACCGGTTTAGGCCAGAATGTTCTCGAACACAAGCTGAAAGCTATATAAACCCTGCTGATACGCAATCAGAGAGTATGCCTCGTCTAGAGTGCGAGCTAGTTAGTCCGTGCGGAGTCGATCGAGCTGACAGCCGGACAGCGAGTGCCGAGTGAGTCGTCGAGTGCATCGAAGAGTCTCTTAGTGTATCGCGGTTAGTGCATCGTCGAGAGAGTGTATTAAGCTCCGGAGACGACTGAACGAAGAGTCGGGAGCTGTGCTCTATGTGTCGTCAAGTGCATCGCGAATTGTAGCGTGGAGAGTCTCGAGATTATGTGGAGTTTCGAGAACGACCGAGCGATATGCCATGGACGGGTAGGGCATATCGCTCGGTCGTTCTCGGGACGAGTCGGGAGCTGTACTCTGGTGCTTTGCAGTGAAGCTGTCTCCACCGTGATAGCCTGATAGCCTGAAGGCTGTGTCGCTAATTGTTCCAGCGTGTTTACAGTAGGTCTTCGACGACTTTTACAGTCGTCGAAGATTTTGGAGCAGTTCTGATTAATATTGGTAAGTAAAGTGTGTTCCGATATTCCATCAAGTGCTATCGTCGTTATTCACTCCAAATCCACATGAACCCCGTACCACGAACTCGTGAAGGAAGAAAATAACGTAACAATTAATGTCAAAAAAAAAAAAACGCAACATTATGTTTTACTGAAGTAAACAATGCGTTTGCCAAACTTTCATTAAGCTAAAAAAGAACGAGGTTTTGCGTCTAATTTTGGAGTCCGTGTATACGTAAGTTTATTTTATATCTTTATCTTAGCTCAAATATGAAAAAGTTCTGCGTTTAGAAAATTAAAAGTATTCCATTGCTTACTTTTGTAAAAAAGGAAGAGCTTATTTTGCTTCTTATAATAAGGAATAAGAAAAGGGAGAATTAAGAAAGCATTTTTATATTCTGTATAATGTTTCTTTAAATGAAATGTGATAAACGAAGGAATACCAGGGAAATTTATATTGTAGCCGTTAACTTCTAAAAGAAAATCGCCAAGTATAAATAGCGCTGAATGAAAAAAAAGCTGCCAAACAGAAACTCAGGAAAATAATAAAAACGTAACAGGAAAAAGTAAAACGTGACAAAATTACACTTATATTTATTCCTTGCTTATAATGTCTGGTGACGTTTATATGAAAGGAGAAAACGTTAACCTTGCTGTTTCATCCCCTCGACAAGGATGAATTTGCTCAAAGGCGCGTCTGGCATCACACGAATTCTACCAAATTCTAGAACAAGATCGGTAACGCGGTGCCCGCTGGCATGAAGTCCACACGATTAAGGGATTGGGACACAGAAATTTTAAAATGGCCACGTTCAGATATCTAAATTCTAAATTTTAGATATCTGGACAATAGACACTCGTAATGAATAATTTTTGTAAAGATTCTTATTTTATCTTAGCCATTTTACCATCTGTAAGAAGTGTACAATTAAACTTGTGACAAGAATCTTAGGGACATATACTAGTCATCTGCTGTATGATTAGATTACATGACTAGATAAATCTGGTTTTCAACTACTAAAATCATCTGATTTTGCCTGCAGTGAACAATTTCTGTCCCCATTATTCTCGCATACACTCTTCGACCACCATTAGCTACCATTTATATCAGTAACTTCTGTTTATGCATAAAATTTGTTGCTTTATGAATTTGTATTTCGAGTTGTAAGCAGAGTATTCATTCTTCTCTTCAAAATAAAAGGCAACGAAAACATGCAGACAGCGTAGCTTTCGCAATGCTTGGTATTTAGAAACTAATTTAATTTAAACCGATTGTTATGTGCCAATAACGTATTTCATTTGCATAACAACAACAATTTGCAGTTTCCTTGCTTGGCTAATAGCATATATGAACAACCTGCTATAGCAACATTTTTCAAAAACGCTTTCGCAATAACAAAACAAATGGTTAGAACATTATAATTCTTATAATCCACATAAATTAAGTCTGTTTTGATATAATTATATATTTATTTTAATTTTAGTTTTTATTATATATTTATTTTTATTATTACTCTAGTGCCCGGATGCTGTACTTCGAGCCCGCCGAACTCCCACATTTGTGAAATACGCTCTTTTAGGAAAAAAAAAAAAAAATACTGACGCCTACTCTATATCATGCCGCATTCATGCGTAGTATTATATTATGAAATATCTGAAAATGATGGCAAAATGCACTTATATATAATTGGTGAAGAGTTAAAAGTTGAAGTAAAGCATTCGTATCGAAAATTAACTCGGTTGTTCCGGGTTACTATTTCTAAAGGATTGGGATTATTTAGATTACTGCAGGGCACTCAATGTGACTAAGAGGAAGGAGGCTTCCGTGAAAGACATTTTATGAAAAAATGCGATCTTATTCACTTTTACATGGGGTAAGTTATAAAACCTCCCATACAGCCAGGTCATTTTTTTGGGTTTACTATTTCTAATAGCGATCCGAATTGTTTATTTTTGGGCTGAAAAACTACAGTCTATTGAATGATATAAGAAGCGGTTAGAAATGTGCAAACCTGTTGTACGCCGGACCAGTTAAAGTGACTTCGAAAGTATTGGGGCATATAAAACATTCAGACATTCAGTGATAAAATATTTGTTATTACCCCAAACCTTAATATTTTTTTATTGTGCCTGTGTCTAAATATCGCGCTAAATCATGAATGAAATTAGAACCATGTTAAAAATCAGATATCACTAATAAATATAGGTGGGCAGGAATTAATTCCTTATTGAAAGCTGTTTGTATCTTTTTTTTTAAATGCCTAACGAATTATCATTAAACAAAAACATTTTGCTCATTACACTGACAGAATTCATTAGACGATATCTCATTTATTGTATGTCATTGCAGGTATCAGTGGCGAACTATGGCACTACGTCTAACCTTGCGTGAGTTGGCTCCACTGGTATCCCGGTAGAAAGTATGATGACTTCATCTGACCACAGAATACTATCGAAAATTTCGGACCAGTATTCATACCAAGCAAACATTGTCTCCCAATATTCCAACCGATGATCACAGTTCTTCTGGCGATACTTTCTGGCAATAATGGGGTTTTCATGGACGAAAATTCAACTTCAAAACAATTCGGATTCAATTTAAACCACTTACTCGAGAAGCCTGTCTTCGAGATTTCTGAGAACTTACAGTGAACATTTCCTGGACCACTTGCACATTTCCCTCATTCTTGGATGTTGAAGGGCGACCGCGTCTCCTAACAACTGAATAGAATTTGCGTTTATTAGCATTAGCTTCGAGTGTCGATTCCTAATCATCTTTGCATTTACCGAGGCACCAGATGCTTTGAAACCTCGCCTGTAGCATGGAGCACCGTACTTCGTACCGGGATATCAAATGAACCGGCTTACGCAAAGTTGCACGTTGCGCCATGGTTTTCCACTGGTATCTGCAAGGATATGAATGTGATATCATGTAATAAATTCTACCACTGCAAGAAAAAGATGTGTTTTGTTTCATGAATATTCGTTAAATATTTAAAAAAAATCATAAAAATATTCTATAGGGAGTTCATTTTCACCCAAGCTATAAATGAGATATTTGGCCCTTAGTTATGAAAGTTATGTCAGAAGATATTCGGATATTGCGGTAACAAACATAATACGGATGTAATTACGTCAGACTTTTCCATGTAAAAGTTTTCTTTAGCAACTTCTGCTCGAAGGCATTCGTCCCCTTAGAGAAGTAGCCGTCGTATGCTTTGCCAAAAATAAATAAACTGAACTTTCCATATAAATCGGGTATAATGAATATTTTGAGCGTTAGAAATATTATTTGTAGTCCTAAATTTAAAGCACTCAAATTGATATTGAGAGACCAACGAATGTTTAGCAAATTTATTAATACAGGGAGTTTTAGGAATATTTAAAGAAAATAAAACTTTTAACCTGAAGAGTTAAAGTTATTTCTCAGGAAAGCTAAGATGTTACAGATCTGTATTAAAACGCCTCAAGATTTTTATGATTCAGTTATTTTTGCAAATGGAAGTAAATTCAATATTTTTGGAAATGATGAAAAAACAAATGGTATCGCGAAAATCCAATACTCAACTTCAAAACGAAAATCATGTTTCTTCAGTAAAACATAGTGGAGATAGCCAGATTGTTTGGGGCTGTATGAGTGCTTTCGGTGTGGAAATTTTTTTTATTGAAGGAAATATAAATCAATTTATACTTTAATAATTTTAAATAAAATTTTGAAAAATAGCACTTAAATAGTGAACATACTGTCGCATTAGTATATTCTTTAGGACAAAAGTTCCAAGCATAATGCCGTTATTTGCGAACTATGGACGTTATATAGTGTCCACATGTAATTAAAATCTCTGCGCAGTGTCCAGATCTTAATCTTATATCTGCGGTCATGTGCAAGACAGAATTAAAAATTTTTAAATTTTAAATAGAAATGAACTTGTAGAATATATGTTGCCACAGAATGGGAAAACAGAAAAGAAAATCTCCATGCCTAGAATATAAACAGTAAAATCGTAAAAGGGAATGGAGGCTTAATACATTATTAAAGTACATTTTGGAGTTTTCTGAGAAAACAATACCTTTGTGTACTTCAATATATTTTTGGCCATTATCTTCTCTTTCGTATATTATAGATATATAATTTGATATTAATTTAACATTACTTTTAATTAGTTAAAAAATTTCGATTTTGTTTTAGTTGTAAGATATTACTTGCAAGAAAAATGCTTCGTTTAAGTTAACTATTGAATTGTGTTGTGTCCCACTACTTTTTTGAGTCCTTATATGTTGCCTGAGCGAAGCGGCGATATTTTTAAAGCTGCAACACAAAAGTACCAAATAAAATTCTCTCATTTACGTATTGTTCGGATAACTTGAGTTAACATCTGCTTAGTTATTTTTCTTTTTGCTGCAAAAAAAATTATTATTATTATTAATTATTTTTTTTGTTCTTTCAAAGGTATTTATTGTCTTCCATGTTTCGAGGACATACGGAACGTCTGTGAGCTCTGTGCAAAGCCTGTTGAATATGAGGATCCGGATTTCAGCGAAGAGAAGTAGGTTTAAAATAGTTTAACTGGAACTATGTATTGTCACCTGCGGTGGAGTCTAATTTAAGGGTTTTTGTATTGACTAGATTTATAGCACATTTAAGGTGTTAAAAGTATTAAATTAATTATAACGGGCCTAGTAATGTTTGTGGTATTAAATTAACTGTTTAGGAAACTGCCTAAAAGTATAATAATTTTCGAAACATTAAATTTAAAAAGTTAGGAAACGGGTCCAAAATTTGTCTCACTTTTAGGTATGTAGTATCTTTATTTAGTATTTGCCCACAACTGTTTGTGCTCTTATGTAATAGCATTGTTAAGTGTTTGTGAATATTATGAACACTGCTAATTGGTGTCTGCCTGTCCTTATTTATTTAATAGTCCTAATTGAAAAGGAATCGTGTACAGTATATGTGCAAATTACTAGCTGTTAGTATATATATTTACACACATTGGTGATAGCAGGTGATTCTCTACCAGATCGATAAACTTGCAGGATGCGTAAGGGGTACAGTGACGACTCGGAATCACACAAAAATACAGGCTCGCAAAAGCCGTAGTTGTGAGCTATGATGCAAAGAAGCAGAGAAAAAGAACAAAAACAACAACTCATTAATGGGACAGAAAGCATTTTATTGAAAGATTGTATTACAATAGGAGTTCGAAATTACGACCAGAATTCGTCTGGCAGGCCTGATAGCGTCGCTTCATGGAATTCCTTACGTTCTGGAAGATTCCTGGCATGTCACATATCCTCCCGGCAGCTACAGGTATTCGAGTGACGAGGTCTTCAACTGAGCGAACGGGAGTCTCGTATACCAGACTCTTCATGTGACCTTAGAAGAAGTCCACGCATGATAGGTCCGGTGATCTGTCAGGCCAATGAACCGGGCCATCCCGACCTTTGCACCGCTGTCCAAAAGTTACGTCTAGGTGTGTGCGACGTTCTGGAAGATTCTTGGCATGTCACATATCCTCCCGGCAGCTACAGATATTCGAGTGACGAGGTCTTCAACTGAAGGAACGGGAGTCTCGTACACCGGATTCTTTATGTGACCCTAGAAGTCCACGCAAGATAGTCCGGTGATCTTTGAGGTCAATGAACTGGGCCGTCACGACCTTTGCACCACTGTCCAAAGGTTACGTCGAGATGTGTGCGACATCAGTCGTGTAATGTGGAGGAACCCCGTCATGCTGGTACCACATAGAGTGGCGCAACGACGATGGAACGTGTACTACGTCAAGAAGTTTGGCCAGGACTTGTTGCAAGATCAGGTATGCCCTACCGTCCAATGACTGGGTAGAAGATACGGTCCAATGAGGTGGTCCCCAAGAATGCCGGCCCAGTCATTGACCAAGAAACTCTTTCGAGCTGCATCTTGTTGCATAGGATGAATGTTTCCAAAGCCCACACACATTATGCTGATTAAAGGCTTCCTCATGAGTAGTATGCTTCATCCGGGAACAATATGGACTCAGCAAATGTGCTTTCAGCACTCTGTTGCAGGAACCATGGACATATGTAACATAGTGCTGTTTTCAGCACTGTTTTGCAGGAAACGTCCTCCGTAGTGGATAATCCTTGGACTATTATAACTGGACGCGATGGAGATGGTATGAGCTCATTTGATTTGCTGCGAGTATCCCCCAGACTATTGATTGAAATAAACCCACTTGTTGGGCTATCGCTCAAGTATTCGAAATTGGATTGTCGTCATCAATACGTAACACCGCCTTCTCATTTCCAGGTGTTCTTGCCCTTTGCTGTAGATTCATTATAGCTCTCGTTAAACAACCAGTCTCACTTAATCTTCTGTTCGCATTTGCGAAGGTGATGTGAAGCACGCCTGTTCGGGTAACGTTCCTAGTAGAATGGCCGACCGGCTCGCTCATTCCAATCCGCAGCTCCACACACGATACATATGTCAACTAATTCATCGTTTGAATGCGCGAGTGTCCTTAGAGCTCAAAAGGAAGAGATTGATTGAAGCTCTGCCTGCTGCGCTACGGAAGCTCAAAAGAAGGATGTGCATATCGCATATAATTCTTTTGAGCCTCCGTAGCGCAGCAGGCAGAGCGTCAATCAATCTTTTTCTTTTGAGCTCTAAGGACACTCGTGTCCAAGTGGGATGAAGGGAGCCTCCAATTCTTACAATTCTTACCCCGAGAAACGGATTGAAAACGACGACGTCCAGAAGGATCGCTGTTCACGCAACCTTCCGTTCAGCGCCATCTACCAGAGGACTGCCAGGAGGAATCTTCCAGAATGTAAGGAATTTCATGCAACACCGCTGTCAGTACTGTCTGACGTTTACTGGTCGAATACCTGTTGTAACACAACCGTTCAATAAAATGTTTTCTGTCCCATTAATGTGTTGTTCTGTTCTCTTTCTTTGCTTTTTTGCAACATAGCTCGCAACTACGGCATTTGTGACTCTGCATTCCTATGTGATTCCGAGTCGTCTCCGTACCCTCTACACACCCTGTAAGTTCGTAGGTCTGGTGGTGAATCACCTTGTATATATTTATATATAAAGAAGAGTGTCCGTTTGCTAATGCGTATTTCACAAAAATCTGCAGTTTTATTTAGATCTTGAAGAAATTTTGCACACTTGGTCTTCAAAACAAGATCGCTCTTCACATAAGATTCCGAAAACCCTCCATACGGGCTCCACATTTACGGCGAACTTTGCGCTCACGTCACCCATGTTAGGTTCACGTCGGCATTGTTGCACTTCCGCTGTCAGTGAAAGTCATACACACTAAGCGATTAATTTTTTATTGCGTTTTTAATAAAAATATATGTCTAATATTTCTATACAGTGTCAATTTTGAAATAACTCCACTACCAGTTCTTATTAAAACCATTAGATGGCGTCGTGTTCATTTGCTATTTAGAATAGTATAGACCATTCCAGAATAGCGTAGATCTTCGAAGCAAAACATAAACTACTGTCTGTTAGTTTTTGCAAATATGATGAAAAAAATTGGCTAAAACGAATTGCAATTTTCCGAAAGTTCATATCTGAAAAAATGCATAACCGATAATAAAGCAAATACCAGTTTCTACTAAAAGCGTTGCTGAAGCTATGTTAATTCTACGCTGTTTTACAGTGTGTTTCGAGTTTGGTAAAATTTTGACCAATTTACCTTGAAAAAATAAGAGAAAAATCATTCTGTACCTAAAATTTCGCAGAACCTACCCACATGGTCCTCTTCACTCTCCCGGCAAACCCGAATATTTCAGCTAGTATCATATAAATGACTTCCAAATGCATTCTATTACAGTCAAAAGTATTCCTGAATAACGCTATATAACTAAGTGCTGTATTATATTGCATGTAATATTGCGCGCTCTGCCCAGAGTAGCACTCCGACTTAGTGATTATTAATTTTAGCTCCGCGTGCAGCTTTTACGTGTTAAAAATAATACTCAATAGTGTAGTATTGCCACATACTTAATATTTACATTACATTTAATACTGGCATGTTCAATATTGTACTGTTTTATTTTTGCATTCTACATAGCAACTGTATAAATTAACTATTTTTTAATTTGCTTTTACGCCTGAAATTTCTCTCACTTTATTATCAGCTACATTGCCACAGCGAATACAAAATCTTGAAATCAGGTAAACCGTTTTTGCTGAAATTTGCAGTCTAGTGAAAGAAAACACGTTAATATTCGGACTAGAAACCCTTGTTCTGTAGCAATAAGAGTTTGTTTGAGCATTATTCTCTTAGATGTTCCCCGTGATTTCCGAAATATTTCTCTACTCACATGACCACTTACATTACTCTCATTCTGACAAGACAGCCCATAAGAGTATGAACTCAGGCAGTTTTAAAATAGATACATTCCAATTAGTTGTTGATCAACTGTTCTGTGGTAGGCGTGAAGAAACGCGAAGGTGATGTATGAATGCCACTTACTTATAGAAAATACAATTTATATATAAATGTCTTCCAATCGCAAGTGATAATACAAATAGCACAAATAATGATCCAAATGAAAATGATAATACAAATAACAAAAATAATGATCCAAATGCAAATGATAATACAAATAAGACAAAGGATGTATGTATGCGAGATTGTTGAAGTATAAATTCTCCTTGGGTAACAAACGTGCCGAATATATTCCTTACGTAGTTTTACTTTCTACATGCCGCGAAGAGGATTTAAAAGTTAAAATAATGCAGACATTATATATATGGATGTGAAGTTTCGTTAAATAGACAGCAAAACAAATCGCCGCGTACTTGAGGAGAACTGATGTCGAATTTATGATATTATCTCATATTTTCGCTTAGAAAACATCAAAGTATTAAATTTTTTTCTTTTCGCCCATGTTTTCTCGCCATTATTTCTCTTCGCCGTTCTCATATTAATCAAAATTGCTGTCTCTGATAACGCTGGAAATAATAACTAATGTAACAAGAAATAGTAACTAAAATGAAAAATAACTTAAGTTAGCAACTCATGCCTTAAACCACAGCTTCCACAGCTTCAAAACAAATAATAATTAAATTAAACAGTTTGATATTTTTCAGCGTTTTCAAATATTGCGTTAGTACTTTTGTGCTTTAACATTTCATGTTAATTTTATGAAAAAACATGCCAGAAGAGCCAAAAAATTAACCCAAAATTCTGAAACGGTTTTACAACTCAAAGCAGTATTTACATGTGAAGATACCAACGTAAATCGGATACTTTTATAAATCTACATCCCAAATTTTAAAAGTGTAAAAAAAGTATTACAACACTTAATACTCTGCGTCAACGGCACGTACATTTTTCTCCGCTTCACCTTTTCTAATATATGATATTTTTGAATACTTTTTATACATCAGAGGGACATCGGAGATTTCTGAAGGAACTTAAGCGTTAAATTAAGTACATTGAATCCTTTTGAGGTAACCATCTTCTTAAAACAACGGTATTTCTCAGAACATAAGAAAACATTGGTATGAGCATTACCTTTCTAAGGCGACCATAAATGAACATGGATATGAGCATCACATTTCTAAGGTGACCTCTGTCACTCGATTAAATTTTAAATTTAAATATCTTTCGCTTTATTAAATGGCAAAGCGTTGGCGCGTGGAAGATAAACGTATTTCATTTCAGGTAGCGGCAACGCATTGCTTTTTATTTACGTGGCCTCAGGCTAATTCCAGGCCATGAAAAAAAGGAACATGAGCATAGTTATAACCCCGTATAACGCTGATAAAGAAAGTTCGAATCAGCTATGTGTATATCGTGTGTTTTTGATGACCGCATAATTTGTCAGTCAATGTAGCAGCAAAGAGATTGATCAGGAAAGTCAGCTGATGGCACATAATCAGGAGGTTGGTGAAGAGCATGAAGCTTAGTTGTAGGTAGAAGAAAAGAGTACGAGAGTTACCAGGAATTCAGACGATAGAGGGAGAATGTCTCAAACATTTTATGGTTTGGAAGGAATGGATCGGGAAGGAGGAAGGAAGAGAGGGAAATTTTCTGGAATAAATTTAAAAATGAATTAATAAAGGTGCAGATTAATGTGATAAATACTCATTATTGTCATTATCATTGATTTACGCGAGCATTAGAAAAAATATGGAACTTACTGATTAAACTGTTACGCGTTTTAAGCGCTTCTGTTGCTGTCATTTGTTGTTTGGGAATTATAACATTAAATTCATCCTGAGTTCTTCATATTTTTAAATATTTTATTAAATACAGAAATATCTGCATTAATAATAACTCCATTGTTTGTTTCTACTTTTGAACATTTTTGTGATATTGCTCGATTCAGCAACAGTGGTCAGGACGGGTGCAGCACTTGTAGTTAACTAATTTTTGGCCGTTTCAGGTTTGCCATTCTGAGGGGCTCTAGCAAAACTAATTTCGAGCGTTATGGTATTTTTCTTGCCTGGTTTACTTGTAGGTAATTTGGGGCAACCTCAGTACGAAGCCGTGTTTCCTTCCGCCTCACAAGCTACAACAAACTGGCTTTTCAGTTTTTCCTTTGTTAGAGCAAGCCCGGGTTTTGTGCTCTTGTTCCCATTTAACACACTTCGGTCGCATTCAGGTGACACATCCCCGAAGAATGATGCCACTTGGCTTTTACGTAGCCGAGTTTGTTGTTTAAAAGTAAAGCGAAAGGTAATTATCTTATATTTTGTCGAATGGAAACAGTCTGGCGTGTCGAAGCTAAAATGCTTTACTTCGAGTAGTGTTGCCACTGCTCGCTTTCAAATAGCGAAAGAAGTTCAAAATCAAAAGTAAGGAAGTCAAAAATATAATAAATTCGTACAAAATAAGAATTAAATGAAAACAAAGTAAGTTAGAAATTCAGAATACGGGCTTTGAAGTGCATATGTTCAAATGGAAGACTACATTGCGTTCAAATTTTGGTGGCTCTGTGTGCCACGGATTTTTCACAATGCGAGAAACATACATGCATACATACATATGTACAGATTCTTCAGTATTTAATAACAGAGTAGAAATAAGGTCCAAAAAATTTCATTCAGATGCTGGCAATAAATCAAATGTTTTTTACCTTCTCCAACAAAGCCTTCTTTTTTTAAATATTTATTTACTTTTATATTTGAATGTAGCAATAAGATCATTCTAGCTTTAAAAAAGTGGTGATGTTAATACTAGAAGCATCACAGCAGGCTATAAATTTGTAATTAGCTCTTTATTGCACATCTTCAGAGACTCCAGTGAAGAGGAAGAGCGAGAAAAGAGTTACGACCACTCAGTGCAGAAAGAAGAAAGTGATGAAGAAGACTACGAATACCAATATGATGAAGCGAAATCATTAGATGATATTAGCGTTTCTTCATCTTCAGATTCCGAACCCAGAAAAAGGAAGAGGCGTCTGGCGAGTATGGACGATTTAGAAGACGACGACGAAGAAGAAAAAGTTTAGATTTTAATTCAATATTATCACTCGTAATCGAATGTTTCAAAAGAAAAGATTTAATCGTATTATCATGTCGAGAATTTAAGAAATAAGCTAATGATTTGTAAGGCTTGATGTTTTGATTGTTTGCTCTAAGTATCTAATGAAAAAGATTTTTTATTCAGTATAAAGATGATTTTAAATTATTAGCAATAAAATATCGAAATATTTAGAGAATAAATCTAAACAATATAAGCAATTTAATTGAAATAATTTTTATTAATTTCACCTACCGCTTTTTTTGTATTTGGCAAGAAAAAAATGTACATTTGTATTAATACAGTAAATATGAATAACTTCGTTTCTTGCTTTTTTATAAGCAATGTGCTGTGATTACTCGTAACAGAAAAATGTACTTACGTATTAATGAAGCTATCTTGGCAAAATGTTGCGATTTTTTACAGTGAAAAAATAAAAAAAGTTATTTATCAGGTGCGAGTTGGTGGTTTTTGCAACTTTTTTTCAAAAGATTCCCAAACTGTTGATCTATATCGCAAAAAAACACCAAAAATTATAAACACATGGAAAGAAAACATATCTTACCAATTTCAAATACAAATTTTAATTACTATATAAGGAGTGCATGACACATTAACAAAATTTACTTTCTTCTCCAAATCTTTTTGTAATTTTTTTGAGCCATTGTTCTCTCTAAGTGTGCAGTTATCTGCTTTCTTTAAAAAAAATCAGAGAATTTCAAATACTAGGCATTGTGCAAACCTTGGCAACACAGGGTATCTACCAAATGCCCCTCCTTGTTACTTCCTTTAAGTATTTTGCGACGAAATTTGTATTTCAGCTGAAATTTTACCGCAGTTTTTTTTCTATTGCTACCAAATTCTGCAAGCGTTTAAAATGAAAGCACAATATGTCACCATTTGTTTATGAAACGGTCTGCATGTAATAATTGTAGAATTATCAACAATTTAAAAGTTAAAGTGGTACTAAGCCTAACGAATCCGCCATTTATTTGCATTTGAAACACTTATAAGAGCAGTGAATTAAGTCAGTTTGTGCACAAGCTATAGTGTCTTTTTGCCGAATGGTCCAAAAGTAAACTTTTTGTTTTGGGCACTGAAAAATCTGTTGAATTGTTACTATTAAACATAGGAGGATAATAACATAAACTTAGGCGAAGTTACATGACATGATACAAACTGTTGAGTACATACATTACAACACATTTCTGTGCTGATTTTTGTGAAGAACTGGTGGGTGTACCAGACTCCCTCCTCTGTTGCGTTGTTATTCCAGTCTTCTTGTCACTCGTGGCTTAGATGTTCGTTTAGGTTTTGTCATAGTTCATAATAGACATTCATAATATGGCATTCATAATAGACATTCATAATAGACGGTATGTCGAAATCCTCTCCGAAAGGTTGGTCAGGGAGGAAAAGAGTGTGAGAGAACCTCGGACTGCACTTGGGGTATCTCCCCCGGAATTTCATTCGGGACGGAAACTGCGTAGTTTGAAAAGCACGGCGGTACATAATACGTTTTAGATGGATGCACATGTAAAAGCCTTGCTTCAAACCTGTACTTATAGGATTAAAAAAAGAAAACTTCATTCCGGATAATTATAGCAAATTCCATCAGACCCCACCCCCACTTCTCCATCAGAGCAGGTTTGTACTCCTAAATGGTTTTGGGTGCGGTTTGGCGTATTTCAATAGCCATTCCAAGAGCATCCCAAGCATGTTCAATAGGATTAAGGTCAGAAGATTTGTGTGTCCAATCCATTCGGTGAATATCCTAACTTTCCAGTTAGTCATCAACCAGGTGGCCCTTTGTGGTCGTGTATTGTCGTCCATAAAAATGAACTCATGGCCAACTGTACCCCTGAAAAAGTTGAATATAAGGCTCTAGGATCTCTTGCCTGTACCTCTGGGCGTTCAAGGAACCAGTGTCAAACACATGAAGGGGTGTACGGGTATCTTTCACGATCTTTGCCCAGACCATCACTCCTCCACCACCATATTGGGCCCTGTGTATAATGTTTCTGGCATAGTATCCGGTCTCAGGTTCTCTCGATATCAATAATCAGAATTAAGTTGTAGATTAAATCTAGACTCATCCGTGAAGAGAACATTAGCCTACTGAAGCTGTGTCCAGCGTTGGTAATATATGCACCATTGTAAACGCTCTTTTTTGGGGAGGGAGTGAATGAGATGCAAATGATGATGCCATCGCGTAAACAAAATTTCATTGCTTTGCGGCTAATCTTTCGTGCGTATATATTTGTTACATACTTGTGTCCCCCCCAAAAAAAAGCACCTCACGGGAAAAAAAAAAAGTTCTAATTGGATTCGAGAGTGATTAAAATTTTCGTTGAAATATGATATCCAAAATTTTTCAGGATCACAATACTTCGTTTACTTCGTAGAAGAAGTAAAAAAGGGCTGTGCGAGTCAGGTGTAGCCAAAAAATTTAGGGCTTAATTCTTGAAAAACCAGACATTACTAAACATATCTTAGGGCATTTTAAGGAGATTCAAATAATCATTTATCCATTGGGAAAGAGAGCTTCAATCGGTTCTTTGATTGCATTCTAGTTCTTTTAATGAGCTTTCAGTTAGGACATTTTTCAAAACTGATGCTTATTCATAGTGGTAAATGTGTATTTTAGTCCCCGTGGCACAGTGACTAGCGCATCGCGCACCTGCACCACAGGTCCAAGTTCCATGCGAGTACCAAGTTCGCTTGGGGACTAAACACCGGGGTGTCCTACGACAAGCTGACCACTTGTCCAGGGCATATGCTGACGCAGCCCGGGGCCCAAGGTCAAGAAAGCAGATTTCGAGGCATTGCAGGGCTGCTGCGCCACTGTTTTTTTTTTTTTTTTTTAGTTTAAATGTGTAATTTCGGAGACGGGTGTAAAGCATGATTTTAATGCCAAGTAATTAATTACGGTTAAAATGAAAATCAATGAAAACATTTTTATTACGCAAACATTTTTATTACATAAATTGAAACTAATTTTTAATACTCGTTTTTAAATAAAAAAAAGTTACTATTTTTTAAGGAAGTGACGATGCTAATTAATCTTTCTGTGTATTTCTTCAATCAAGTTTAACACTATTTTGTGAGATGATCCATTATGTTCTTATTAGAAGGGATAGAGTGAACCAAATTTTTGGTCCGTTGAATTTCATAAAGGCGAGGTTAAACTGTAATACGTCGAGTAAAGTTTCAGGGAACTTAATAATCTAATCAACACTTCACTTACTCAGTCTATTTACGTTTTTAGGCATCACTGTCATACTCTGAAATAATATCCAATAGGAAATTAATTTTCATTCTACGATTAGCAAACATTTTGGCTTGCCAAAATATTTAATGATAAATTTATGTTTAATCAGAAAGGATCACATCTTCGCAACAGAAAATATAGACTTTATTTTTAATCGAGGTATTTCAGTATTTCTTCATGAAAATCTCTTTGCAATGCCTCGAAAGATTAATCTTATTTTAAGCTGTGTGAAAGGCAATATTTCCTCTGCTTGTTTTCTGTAGTCCTTAGACGTATGACGTTAGTACTTAACCTAGGATTTATCTTAATAAACGTTATTTTACGAGCATTTGTAAACTCATTTCTTACACGGCCGCTTTGCTAATCATTTCCATCTGCTCGCTGTGATTGAAACAGCGTAGTCTGAGACATATTTATTGAAATAAAAAACACGTCTGAGTAAAATCTAGACACTTAAGCTCATTTGAGAAGTAGCTCTTAGACTATCTTAACGATAATCATCAGATCATGACGTATGTTGACGTTAGTCGGTTTACATTACAAGCTTAATAATCTGTTACAGTAACAGCAGTTTAATGTAATGCAGTTAATATCGTTTGCGAAATCTACATTTTTCTTAGCTTTAGTCTTTTTTCGTATCAGAAATAATTATATTAGTTAGTTTCAAAACTTTATTCTTACATTTCCGGCATAAAATTAAAAAAATACCATCCTTTCTCAAAAGCATTCTCGAAAAAATAATGTTACGTGTTTGAAAACTTGTAATAATTGAATTTAGTTGTTAGAAGACGTTAGTGTACTCTGTATAAAAAGTATAAGAGGCGATATCATGCGAGGCAACGTAGTTCATGTCGTAATGCAAACAACAGAGTTGTTGTGGATACGGTGGCCACATATTACGTATGGTAAAAGTTAATTTTAACATAGAAGATATCGTCTCCACGAATGATTATTTAAAGTGTATTCAATGTGCTAAATAAGCAAAAGTATTTCCACTAGAAATATATCTCGATGCGTTGTTAGGGCTATAACTCAATTGTTAAAATATTAAAATTATCGACTATAATATTCAATAATATTTAAACATGCCAATTACCTGTATAGTGCCATTTCTTTACTTAAGATCACACAAGAAAATGCTTTTGCATATTTTGTTATTTTTATTTTTCAGTCGCTATTCTCTGAATTTTCTAATTTCTTGAGTAAGTGTACAAATCATTTTATCGTTACACCAAAATTATCGCTCATAAGAGAATAACAGAAAAGCATATATAGATCGTTCTTTATGGCTAGTGTTCTCGCGTGTGCACATGCACACTAGGAGATCTGTAAGCATCCTCACTAATTATTTATAACAACACTAAACTACGTTTCCAAATCATGTCGACGAAAATGTTCTTTAAATCACGTGGAATATTTTTAGCCAACATGACATTTTGGCATTACAAATGCAGCAGATCATCCATAGCATATAATGAACGATATATGAAGCTGGCCGAATACATCGTTAGTAAATCATCTCATTTTCATGAAAATAAAGCTGTGAAGACTTAGCTATAGTTAGTTATATTCTTTTACTTATTCACACATGATGCTTTAGTAGAAAAATTGGAATTTGAAGGAGATGTCGACGAGGAACTCACTGCCTTCAACGTGAGCAAAAGAAGTGGCCGGGGAGACGAGATGAAAAAATGCCTCGTCCTTTGCAGCTCTCGATGGAAATATTGTATCACAAAACCGGTTCGGTCAGACTTTATGCTTTCGCGCTAAGCGATGACGATTATTTCATGGAAGTGGCAGTGTAAAAGCTTACTTTTACAACAGTTAAAGAATCTGTTATACTATTTGACGTGATGTCGCATTTTTATCAAATGACATTAAGAAGCTTATGAATTCGCTCTTTGATTAGGAATTTATCCTTGTCATGCCACAACCACTTTATGTTCTAGATTTATCATTGTTCAATAATTTAAAGGTGCCCAAAATACCAGTTGTTTTATTCGCTTAAAATCCCTATATCTATTGTTTTATTGGCTTAACGATGTCCTTTTTAAGTACAGTGGTACATCGGTATACGTCTGTTTTCAAACGGTCGCGGACACTTAGCCGACAGGACACTTAACC